TACGTGCCAAATAGAAAGCGGAGATCGCGGAGATAATGTTTTCCTAGTGCGCTCTAGTGAGGCTGCTGCATATCACTCCGAACGTCTCGCGGGTTTAGTAGTTGCTCTATTGGTTCTAACATAGCATGCAAAAAGTCCTAGTTGTCAGCACTTACCATTAGGAGAGTAGTTAAATCCGGGTATGCCAGGTCATTTCAGGTCAGTTGCTTATATACTTCGACTTCTTGTCCTGTGCATCTAGTTGTCCTACTAAAATTCACTTCTTCTAATTGATTGCCGTCAGAATGGCGAGCTCTAACAACACTCAGTGGCAGTTGACGGAGGTTAAGAGCCCAAACCTAGACCAGCCTGTGCCGGTGGTCGCAGCTCTGAACTTGCCTTACGTGAACAATGGCCACAGGTTTCAGACCCTTAACATCTACCTTCCGAAGACGAATCAAACAAACAACCTCGTTGGACAACCAGTCGCCAATCTGCCGACATATTCACCTGCCAACGGCATTCCTTGTTGGCAGGTCCATATCCATGGCGGGGCATGGCGAGACCCTGAACTCACCTCAACTTCTATTGAACCTGCCGCGGCTCATGCCTTTGCTGGCAGCGACACGAAACACCCAATCACTGCGATCGTCTCAATGAACTATACGTTATCGCCATTTCCAACTCATCCAACTTTACCTTACGATCCGACCAAGGGAGATAGCTCAGATCCCTCGAGAGATGGGCATCATCCCGACCATACCCGCGACGTTCTTCAAGGATTCGCTTTTCTACGCACGCTTGGTCTTCATGATGATTCATACATCCTTTCAGGCCATAGTGCTGGCGCATGTCTTGCCTTCCAGTCGACTCTCCGGTCACCACAAGCCTGGGGCCTCGACGCTGCTATGGAGCCCCCTCGGCCCGTGGCGGTTGTGGGAATGAACGGATTGTATGATCTGCCGGGTCTTGTACATGACTTGGGGTCATTGCATGCTAGCCTCAAGGAAGTCTATCAAGGATTTCAGAGCATCACATTTGGACCAGACCAAGCAAAGTGGGAGGCCCCAAGCCCGTTCCATGTCCCTGTTGATGAGCTCGAACGGAGAGTCAAGTCCGGAAAGGTACCGCGCCTCATCATGATAGACCAGAGCGCGGAAGATCAGTTGGTTCCGACGAACCAGGCCGACAAGCTTGAAGCTCGCCTGAACGGAATTGCCGGTTTGCGTGTAGTCAGAGGCACTCGATGTGAGGGCCGGCACGCAGCTCCCTGGGAGGAAGGGTACATGATTTGGAACAATGTGCAGGACATCTTGAAGCATCTTGGGTAATGAATATCATCGCATCGCATTATGCATACACCAGTGGCCTGGAGGAACTCATCCAGAAATTATTATTACATATTGATTGGGCGTAGATTTGTCCACACTCGAGGTGCAGATTTCCACCCCAGCAATGAACAGATGGAGACATCCTGATATCCCAGCTCGAATGTGACCATCCATAAGAAGATGACCCCAACCACGGCTGATTATTCTAGAGTCACCTCGAAATGCAGCCAATATCTACAGAGACAATACACGCCAATCTCCCGTCGTTCCCTTGGGCACTTAGTCGTCATGAGCCCCAACACCAGCCACATTTCGTGGCCATGGGTTGCAGACCAGTGGCGGAAAGTCGCTTTTGATCCAATGGCATCCCAAGAAAAAAGGTCGCAAAGGGCTCAGCGATGTGGCAAATTGCTAACATCAGCTTAGAGTTGAGCTCGACTGATTGTGTCCCGGAAACCTGCGAGTGGCGCCTCAGTGGGTGGCTTGGGGGACTTCTTCATCGCAAACCCGCATGAACAGGAGAAACAGACGAATGCTATCAAGCTATTTGACCGTTGTACACTGCCCCGATCCAGAACGAATTGATACTGACTGGCGGCGATCGGAGGGATGACGGTCTGATTCGGGGTCAGGATTGGGGCAACCCCCTGCAGGATGCCGATCAGGTGTGGGTCGCCGGGGCCGATCCCTTCGGCTTACGGCGGAGGAATGTCTGACCTACAGGGGCCAGCCCGATTATTCGCCCCGGGCAGGCGGTTGCAAGGCGTCTGGGATGTGTAAGGCTGACTTTGGATTTTAATGATTGCCTGGACGGGAAGTATCTCATTCATTTACAGCACCTTGTCACACACATCGTCCCAACTACACGTACCTAAGCAGGGGCTTGTGAAAAGGGAGGATTATTGGTCAATTGGTTTCCTCCTCCAATTCACTCGCCCCTACGTCGGACTTGTCCGAAGGCTAAACACATGGAGTGGATTGTGCATACTCACGTGGCTCGGGAGCCGAGCCATTGACTGCACTGCAATTTGACGACCAAAGAGCTCTGCCACTTCACGTAAGGCTTCCTTAGGGATGCTGTGAATTTGACCACGTTCATAGCAAGTGCGCCTTGGGAGAGGAACGCTTCTATTGGTGGCACTTACGAGTTGAACGCATGTTGAAAAGTATCTAAGCGTACATGCACATGCTGTTGGAAAAGTATTGTGATGGCTTCTACCATGATGTCTCAGCCCCATGACATCTTGCCTTATCATTTGGCCTCTTTTCAACATCCATTTCAGTTCCGTTGCATAAACCTCGGTCCTCGAAGCCCCTTAATAAGAACCCCTTGTCAATTCTTATCTGTGAACGCGTTCCAGCGTACCTCTGAAGTCAAAACAAGCACTCCACATCACACTATTCGAGGCCCTGTGACTCTTTGTGCCGATTGGACACCAAACGACATATCGCAGAAGGGTCCAGAACCACTCAGTCTCATGACCCTACCTCACGAGGTGCACCAACTGGCTCTACCGTTCTAGATTGACTGTCATCTCGGGCGCAAGCAGGGGGAGAACTTTTGAGGCAGCAACATTTGGCTAAGTATAGCAATCACAGCCATCTTCTCAGTATGAATTCTATCTACAACTGCTACTTGAATGGTCATATCAGGTATCATATAACGACCACACTTCACATATTTTAACATCCTTTGCTCCAACCGAATCATTTCAACCCTCGTATGTTCATGGTCAGTAAAAGCAGCCCTGGTGCATTAACAAAAAGAATACTTCAATCGTGTTTTGGAAATATCGATATTTAACAAACTAAATCAGTGAAATCCCTCATTCTGGATTCCAGCACATTAGTTGCGCAAAGCCACAGACTTTCAGCAATCGTCATGTCAACTGATCAAGGCTACAACACGGCAGTACCTGCCGGCCTTCCGCTCCGCAGTCTTGATCATGACTTCAATAACTGCGATGGCAGCATTTTATGTTACGAGCAAATGCAGTCGCTGACACTCCACAATCCTCTCTGGCGCGAATATCTTGGAAACCGCATAGGGTTAGAGCGCCGTTACGGTGAACTGCTTCACTCTTATGAAGAAGCTTTCGCGTAGGTCTCTCATTCTTCATGGTATGACAGCCTGGAAGACTACTAAGAGACGGCTAGAGCTTACTTTGGAGGGTTTTACCCCATTGACTATGGGGTTACCACCAGCAAGGCAATGAACCCAGACAACGTTATTAAAATCATCTTGACTCTCACGGAGATCTCCATGTCTGAGTCATCAGACTCATCTGAGAGTCCGTTTACGGATGAAGACGACACACTAAAACGACTTGGTTGGGAGGACATCCAGGCAAAGCGACCTCGATGGGCCCTTCTGTCGGACACGTACGCGGCTGCAGCCTCTACCACAGTCTCAAGCTCAGTAGTATGTAAGTCTTCCCATAGAATATGAGCAATGGTGGGCCTAACAGAGAAATTTGAAGAAGCCAGGACTGAGATTTTCCTCAACCCAGAAACCTTACGGTCACGATCCGATCCTCCTCCACACTGAAGGCGTGTCGGATGACGAGCTCAGAGATCAGCTCTATGAAGCCAAAGACCAAGGCTGCATAGGAATCATTATTGAAATCGTCGAAAATCAATACAACGGCCGAATTCTAGACCCTGGACTGTTGGAGCGCTTGGCTACATTATGCGCGGAGGAGAGTCTTCTACTTGCCGTGGACGAAACATTAACCGCTATTCGGTGCGGTGCCCCTTTTTCGTTTCACAGAGAAGAATACTCCCATGTTGCAAGCCCTGATATCGTGTTCTTTGGGAAAGCTACAGGCATCCAAGGTACAGCTGTCGATTTCGATGGCCAGTTCCTGAAGAGGTTGGGCATTCTTGGACTATCGCGGACAGTGGCAGTTAAAAGGTGGCAGAGCCAGTTTCAGAAGCCAGTTGCTACCGCGGACCTCATTCATGCCTTGGCTACACTCGACTTAACCATCAGAGGAAACCTTACAATGGTCAGTCGAATCATTGGCCAAACTATCCGCTCATTTATCCTCGAACAGGCCGAAAAGCGAGGGCATGAAGTCAAGCCTCAAGATATTCTGGGCGGGTTAGAAAGCTTTATTTTCGTGCGAAAAGACATTGCTGGCGAGTTTCTAGTCATGGGTGCCAAGACAGCGGAATCGTGGATTCCGTGGGTGAAGTGGCTACCGAGGCTTGAATCGGACATGTCCAGAGGCGAGATTCTTGATGAGATTATCGGTACTGCAAGTCACCAGGCTCGAGAAGATCTTTCTGAAATCTTGGTTCAGAAAGGTCAGAGGCCTAGCTGGTGTTTCTGGTGCGGCAACCAGACCAACGCTAAGAAGACTGATTGGTGCCGGCGGTGCTGCATTGCCGTCTGTGACGACGATATTTGCGGTCGTCACTTGGCCCATCATAATCACATCTAGTTGTGGTTCACATAATAATCGGCCAGGGAGGGCTATGTATAAGTTACGCGCTATCAATTATGCTGATGCAAGTAAGGCGCTACGTTGGGTTTGCAACGCAATTATGAGCGCACAGGTTGCGTACGTTTCAATACATAAATAAACTTCCTTCTTCTAATTATATAGGTACAAGCTGCTTTAGCACAGGTGCCATCTAAACATTTAGCTGCACGCGCTGTTTAGTACCGACAAAAAGTGATGCCCATGATCTAGCCCGGACTTGAACCGGAGACCTTCAGTGAACCAGGAAGAACGTCCGATGACATTCTGTGCTGTTAGACTGACGTGATAACCAACTACACCACCAGACCATTTTTATTAGTTGTGTAAGTTCATGAGAAATATTTTCTTAGGGCAGATCGCAGCGAATCGTGAGTCACATGCGGAGTCTCCTTAGGCGCCGGAGACAATAAAGGTGGGGGACGTGAGTTGCCAGACACTCGCCGATTATTTGCTGGATGGATGCTGTTGCGGTTTGCCAATGCATCGAGAATAAGTTCGTGGTTCCCTGATCCCATTTAAGCCACGCAGTTCTATGTCTCTATGTCTCAGAAGAATTATTTTTCGGGGGGGGGGGTCTTCCAGGCGTGGTTCAGACATAGATGTGAACACTCGAGATGGAGGGAGAAATATGGAGTGGTTCAGTAAATACGGCTAGGCTATGCACAAGCGTGCCTAAATATATACAAGTGGAGCTTCCGTATAATATTTACAGTGAATAAGGGACTGAGCTGTCCTCTGCTGGCACCTCTCCAAGCAAGGCAATGCAGCTTTTTTAATTGACTCTGGGCATGAGAATCAACCGTTCGTTTAGTAAACGATCTTGACCGGGGTCTTGACATGAGCGGCCAAGCTGGTGGTACCGTTCATGTTCTGGGAGATGGCCTGAACAAAAGCCTGGGAGCTCAAGTCGGCGCCAGCCGGGCTAGTGTGGGTGTTGTCCTTGATGTAAAGAGCGTTGACAGCAGTAGCTCCCATCTTGCGGTACATGTTGCTGACGGCCTGGTGGTGGTCGACAAAGGTGACACCGGAGTCGGCCAGAGTGTTCTTCGCCTTGAGCTGCATAGCGACAAAGCGAGAGGGAGTGCCAACCCAGCTGCCGGTTGACCACTGGTTCTTGGGGGTTTGAGAGCTGAGAATGACGGTGACACCCTTGGCTCTCAAGAGCTTGGCAGCCTGGATGACGTAGAAAACGAAGGTGTACACGGTCTCGCCGGTGGTGTCGGAGACGCAAGTCTCAGTACCCTCGCCAGGGCAAACGGAACGACCGTTGTCGTTGGAGCGGGGCGAGCCGACATCGTTATGGCCGAACTCGATGACGACAATGTCTCCGGACTTGACTTCGTTCGCGACGTTTTGGAAGCGGCCCTCGTTCCAGAATGAGCGGGAGGAACGACCGCCAATGGCTCTGTTGACGACGGCGATGTTCAGGTACTTGGAGACATACTGTCCCCAACCATCCATCTGGGAGTCGCTGCTGCGGGCCATGGTGCTGTCGCCACAGAGGTAAAGAGTGGGCGCGCGAGCCTCCAGCTGGGCAGGCTCGGGTGCGGGAGCAGCCGTGATCTGCACGGCGCTGAGCGCCAGAGACGCGAAGATTGTGGAAAACTTCATGATGACGATCTGCGGTTTGCACGGGCCGGAGGGTCGAAGACAGTGGTATAAGTGGGCAGCAAAGAGAAACTGGCAGTGATCCACGGACTCAAGCAAACGGCGGAGACACAGGTGATTTAATACAAATATTTCTGAGCAGTGAGCTCAATCTATTTCATCGGGAATATCCCCGATTGAGTTGCAGCTTCCATATCGAGAATGGCGTAGCTTGGTTCCGCTCCGGTCGGCCGAGCTTTTCTTTTATATACGACGTGTCCTGCCAAGCTATTAGAATGTTCCGCCAGTCGCGATGGTTTGGAGGAAGCACACGGCGTTGTTTACACTATGTTTAATGCGACATTGGGTGGTTGCGGGAGTAAGCTTAACTCTACTTGAGACCATTAAGCACGTTTAGAATTGCAAGGGCTCTTGAGGACCCCCGCTGACCTCGGATCTGGGCGGCTGCTTTGGGACGGTTGTAACCTGCCAAGAGACAAGGTCTTGATGAATTTCTTCCTGTTGGGCAACTTTTGTCCGCGCCTTTGCGGAGTTGGCTCTAGTGGCTTGGCAAAATGGTCGTAAAACTAAGAACTCCCGGTAGACAGCAGTCATCTCCGCCAATGGCGGTGAGAAACGTTGAGAGTTAGCGGGGAAATGCCGATCTGTCCTGGAAACCGCTCTGATTTGGGACGAACGTGTGAACACTCGGCGGAAGTTTGACGCGAGAAGCTGAAGGCGTGAAGACGTAAAGCTTCTACGAACGCAACTGGCTTTCAGCTCAGCTCAGCTGCAGTCCTCAAAATAACCTTTGCATCCTGGTCAAATGCCTATCCGAGGTTACATTCGCTTTGGGCTGTCATCTAAGGTTAATGAAGGGATGGCGAGTGAGATGGTCGCCGAGACATCCTGCGACGTGGAATTTGGGTTAAGGATGCGATCCGTCGGTAGTTCGGAAATGTAAGCCCGATGCGCCCCAATAGTTTACTTTCTCTTTATTGACAAGGCCCACTCATTCGATCTCACCATCCGGGCCTGCCGCTTCGTGCAGCTAGCTGGAGATAGTGCACCGTTCACTTGGGGATGTGCTTGTTCGGCCGTCAGACTGTTAATGACAATGATTTAAAGGATGTTGACTCTCAGGAGTATTTGCTCCGCGGAAACGGAAGTGCGTCAATCCCAATAACATTCGCCTAGCCTCAATAGCACCAGAGACACGTTCATTGTCCCGAAGACATTCATCGTGCCCGCATGTTGCAAGTTCATCACAGCAAACTCCTGTACTATTGATTGTTGGCCACGCCAGCTGCTCTTATGTGGCTCGGCATTGGGCTTTCGGCGTTTCGCCCCAGACATTTCCATCAAATAGTACCTACAATGTGATTTTGGACTTACTGAACACTTTTGCCTGCAATCTAGAAAGAAATCCAGTGTGCTCTTGGGGCAACAACCCTCGTCTTGCTCCGTCATCTATTACCTTAGTTGTCCGGCCATTTGGGGAAAAAGGTATGCCGATGGGTTTTCAGATAGGCGTGTGGGTGTCTCTCCTAGCTGTAGCTATCGCTAGATCTTTCGAATATCAATTCTCGCGTTGCCATATATGTCAAGTCAATTGGCGTACATACGTAACTCCCGGCGGGAAGAGGCTTTCCTGCTAGATGCCATCGAATCGAGAGGTCTTTTGTGGCCGCTTCGGGCGGTACCTTGAGGTGAAATAAAGCCGTTTATATCAGTCGCATTCGCTGTATTCAAAAGCATTAGATTGACCACAAATTTGACGCGACGCATTTCAAGTATCACGCAGTCTACATGCATGCCAACCAAAGTAGCAATACTAACTAAGTAGGTAGCTGCGTGGAAAAGACTCGATCGGGGGCTTCTTGTGTTCTAGCTAGCCATCATTACGGACGAAAACGGAGTCCTCATTGAATGTCGATATCTTCCTCGCTCTGCTTCACATCGATTGGAAAGTCGGGCGGAGCATTTGAATCCTCTGGGGGCTGAATTGAGGCCCTATCAACGGAGAACGGCTGATAAGACCGGGTCCTTCGGGCAAGTGGGGGCGACTTCATCGGAAACCGGAGTTTGTCGAAAGCGCCGATCGGTACACAACACTTCGGCCTGGTTAGAATCGCTGCCGGCTCGTCAAATGATACTGTCAGTTCGTAAGCGACTTGTGCATTATGATGAGGTCTTCACTAACTCATGAGCCTTCTATTAAAATTCATAGAGTTCCTTGTACAATATGCTCTGATTATCCAGACAAACACGGCGTGAAGCACGACGCGGGCAACTGATCGATCTGAATCCATAATCCATTCTTTTTTCCACGGCGATCTAGGCATGTAACTTCTGAAATAAAGTGGGGCTTGATAATAAATACGCGTGTAAGGCAAAATTTGGATCTCACAAGGCCTCAGCCACGATGTACGAAACAAGCACCAACCCGCATCTAGCCCCATCTACAGATACCCTTAGTGCAAAGACTGCGAATATGAATCGCGCCCCGGCACAAACCAGACCTTTCTACTTGCAGCCTTCTTCTTACTTTTTGCAGGCCCGCGTATTGGCTCTTTTCCCTCCTTGACCTCTCCTTGATTCATCTCATTCCGCGCAATATCACTACCGATGCCAAAGCAGCAGCATGATCATCACCCCGGAGGTCGTCGGTCCCACAAAAAGTCGAGAAATGGCTGTGCCGGATGCAAGCGGCGGCACATCAAATGCGACGAGACCCGCCCAGAATGCCGGAACTGCGTCATGAGCGATCGGGTCTGTTCGTTCCTCAAGACTGATACAGACGAAGAAAAACTACCGACTGGAACAGTCAAAAGTCCCTCTCCTCCGAGCAGTGCGGCGCCAAATGTCGCCATCGTTCCTCAGCAGTTGACGAGTAGCCTTCATTGCGACTCGCCAACATTTACTGTGGCGCACATGGTGTTCCTTCATCATGCCGAGTCTCACATGGCTGAGTTCATGGCTCTGAGGGGTAATGTACGGCCTATGATAAACGCCGCTATTGAGCATGCATTCACAGCTCCCTACCTATTGAACGAACTTCTTGCACTGTCTGCGCTCCATCTATCTACACAAGGTGGTGCCGAGGCACGCTTGTTCAATCACCAAGCCACCGAGCTGCAAACGCGGTCTTTGGAACTGTTCTCTGAGGCCAAGGGCGATATTTCAGACAGCACCTACATGCCCACGTTTATTTTCGCCTCGCTACTAGGCATTCATGTCCTTCATGAGACGCTGAAAACAGAATCCGGGACACTGGCAGACTTTGTGAAGAGTTTTGTTAGCTACTGCCGTCTTCATCGAGGCGTCCGAGCCGTGACAGGACAATATTGGTCAGAGATTCTGCAGTCGGACTTGAAGCCTTTGCTGTACATTGCAACCCTCTCGAAGCAGACAGAGTCACAATCACCGGGCACAGACACCGATCAGCTGCGAGAGTTTCTCACAGGGATGACACCGTCGTCAGCAGCTACAGAGGCTTGTCTAGGTGCACTGGCTGGTGTCCAATGGGTTTTGGATATGGCCAGACAGGAGCCAACAAGATACGATGTCGGTGTTCACGCCGTTATGGCATGGCCCTTATATGTTACAGATGGGTATATCGAGGCTCTTCATCAACATCAACCAGAGGCTCTCGTTGTGCTAGCATTTTATGCTGCTGCACTGCACAGGTATCGGCAGTACTGGGCATTTGGTAGTTCTG